ATATGTACCTTAAAGATAGTATAGAATTTATTTCTACACTGATTCTAGAAAACTTGAACTTACAATTTTTTACTTTTCTTTCTTGTTTTCACCGTAGGTAACAACTTTTGGCTTAGAATTTTTATGTCACCATTCCTCACCCAATCTTTGCATTAACAAGAAATCATCCTCTTTATATTATCAGCAAAAGCAGTAAGATTTTATGTCATTACTTCATCAGAAGAGCATTTAGAGCAATTTAAAACAACTGCTTTATATCACATACGATGAGTTTCCCCCAAATTTCTTATTTTCTTTTTCTTTTCTTTCTTTCTTTTTTTTTTTTTTTTGAGACAGAGTTTCGTTCGTTACCCAGGCTGGAGTGCAATGGCACAATCTCGGCTCACCACAACTTCTGCCTCCTGGGTCCAGGCAATTCTCCTGCCTCAGCCTCCTGAGTAGCTGGGATTACAGGCATGCACCACCATGCCCAGCTAATTTTTCATATTTTCAGTAGAGACGGGGGTTTCACCATGTTGACCAGGATGGTCTCGATCTCTTGACCTAGTGATCCACCTGCCTCGGCCTCCCAAAGTGCTGGGATATTTTATTTTCTAAGAAAAATAGTTCTTTCTTTTTTGCAGGCAGATTAGGCCTAAGAATCCAAAACAAAATGAAAGGTAACTATCCAGTGAATCTGTAATGGTTAATTTATAGAGTTCTTTAAGAGGCTGGTTGCAGTGAGCATCATGAAAGCAGAAACTTAACTTTGTGTATGTAAACTAACGACATATAATTGTCCCTCTTCTGTTATAGAAAAAGGACTGAACCAAGAAACTTTCCAACGTTTCACAAATTAAGGTAGTTTTATCTGATTTGATTTCCCAAAAGAAGAGATTAAAAAATCAATAAAATCTTAAAAATGAAATTTAGATTACTGAAAGTCACATTACATATGCCTTACAGAATATTATGCCTTATTTCTAATAAAGCTGACTTTTGAAAAGCTATAGAGCAGTAGATACTAATTCTAAAAAAAAAAAAAAAAGAATCGAGAAAAACTATGTTTGGGTCACCTAAAGAACAGCACACGTTTAGGGATGTAGGATTCAGCAGAGGATGGTGTCTCCGTCTACAAGAGAGCTGTGTCTCTGCGTCCATAACGTTCCATTTGAGTTTTAAAAGGCTGCCACTTAGTGACCTCTCCAGCTGTCAATCCAGCTTCCTACCCAGAGAAGCACTGAGACAGGAACACTGCATTGGCTCAGGGAGGTCAGACAACAGTCCTCAATCTAACAGAGCAGTCCAGGATCAGAGATTGGCCACTTGATAGGAAGAAAAGGATGTAAAGGAAGAAACGGATGTAAAGGAGTAAGCATGTGAAAAAAAAAGGATGTAAAGGAAGGTGAAGGGGAGAAAGGAGAAGGATGAACAGAAGTAACCAAGATAGAGGTCCAGAAGACACACCCATTCGAGAGTAAACTTTAGAGGTTCTCAGCCAGGGAGAAGAGTTTTCTTTTAAAAAAAAAAAATTACGTAAACAAGGATACTGGTTTGAAACGGTCACTGGAGCCCAATTCATATGAACAATCTAGTAGCATTGTAACAACTCTGAGTTGTCATATGAAAGGCAAGGACCTTTCATATATGCTAACATTTAGAAAATGTAGTTTATTCAATAAATTCATTGAAAGATGTCACGTTTCCTAAAAACTGTACCTAATTTTAGGGTTCCTGCTTACAGTGACTGCAGTTCTGCATGAAAGTTTAAATTGAAGGGGGATTATGGGGAGTGAGGGAGGTGCACAACACAAATGAAATTTTTACAGCATGGAAATAAAAGTATTTTTAAATCTTCTTGGGAGTGAAGAGTTAGGCAAGAAGACGTGGAAACTGTCAAGTGCTTCTCTACACACCCACCCACCAGATACCATCGCAGCCGGCTGGGGGAGTCTCCCTCTTCTTGCCTGACAGCTTCACTTCTTTGAGGTCTGGAGCTGGTGATCACACTGGCCCGTCATGGTATTTTCAGTTAACAAAGCAGTTACTCAACAAGGGAAAAAGCCACAAAGGAGCAGAGCAGCTGCTGCGGCACCCGTGATGCAAGTGCAGGATAAGCCCCGGGCCGCCACCACCGCCTCGGCTCCTCCGTGACGTCCGGGAAGGGTATCCCCGGCACTCAGGAAGTGGTGGCCGCGGGCAGCTCCGCCCCCACGCAACTAGGGGCAGGCCGGGTGGCAGGACCGCCGGGCCTTCCGCAGGGCGGGCGGGGATCACCATCACCCCCCTCCTCGCACACACACGTGCACGAGCCGCGCGCCCGGCTGTAGCCCGCACCTCGCCCCGCTCACTCCTCACAGCCCGCGCGGGACTGAGAGAGCCGCCGGCGGCCCCCTGCTCTCCCACGGCTCGCACCCACTCACCCCGACCCCCGGCGCCGAGCCCGGCCACGCGTCGCCGGACAACAGACAGGGTCGAACCGAGTCCAAGATGGCGACTCCGCCCCCGCCCCCTTCGCACTCCCCGCGGGGTCAGGACGCCCCCTCACGCGACGGGCTCGCGCCCGAGGCCCGGCTAAAAATAGACAGGCCCGACTATATTTGGTTCGGCCGGATCCTAGCGCGGCCGCGCGCACCCCGCCCCGCCCCGCCCCGCGCGCCCTGCCCCGCCCCACGCGGCGCTGAATGGAGAAGGGGCGGGGGTGACCGAGGGGAACCTACTCCGCTATCTGCGGCGCGCGCCGGCGGCTGGGCCCGGCCAACCGCCGAATTTAGTAACATTGCCTGCGTCAATCACGCGCCTCGCGTGCGTCAGCGCCGCGCGGCTCCAGGTCCTGCTCCCCCCTCCAGTCTTTGAATGGATACAATGTAGCAGCGCCCTCCTTCCTTCCGAGGCTGGATTGGAACCCGCGGCTGTGCAGAGATTCGGTTGCTTTTGGCTGGGTCAACTTTCCGGGCATCCTCCCACGATCCTCTACGCACCACCCTGTCTGAATTGGAAGTGGAGGCGAAGAAATATATACATGCCATATTTATCTATATGTAGTTTCTTTTCAAGTTTCTGGTTCTAGCTCGAACCTTCTTCAATTCTAAAACGTGTGCTGTCTACAATCTAATCCTTTATCTCCCCTCCGCGCACCCCCTGCCCCCGCCACACGCAAACATTGGGACAAGTCAAAGATACAAAACGGTATTTGTGATTCAAGCGGACCACATGGGGACCACTCCGTCTGCATTGTTTCACTCAAATATTTTCTTCTCTGCAAAAATTCATTTCCGAAGGAGGTTTCGTTCATTCAGCAGCAACCTTTGGCACTAGAAGTCTTTAACTCTGATAAAGTTTGTTTTCATCAAGAAATTTACACTTAAATTTATCTTTTCCAGCAAGAAATTGCTCTCCCTTATACAGTCGCCTAGGCTTTCGGCACACCATTTCATGACAAATGTGTCCCAGGAGACCAAAGCAAATCCCCTAGCGAGGGACTGACTAATAAATCCTGTTGATTGATTTCGAAATGTTTAATTTGGGAGATGTGGGCAGAGGGCATCTACAACCATCAAAAAGTGAAAGTGCTAGTTGAAAGTTCCATTTCTGACCCAGGACTGGGGAGGAGGAATGATTTGCAATAGTCAAACCCGCTCAGCTGTTCTACACGTGTGTTTGTTTTATACACATTGAGTAGTTTTTGCTGCAGCGCGCGTGTGGATGATGAATGTGCACTTCGCTGGGTTATAACGTGTCCAGTTAACAAACCCACGCTGTACGTGTAAAGAAATAAAACCTTATCCTCAGAGCCATCTGCATCCCTGTGTGAAACACGCACCCAGTAAATGATGGGGGGAGAGAGGATTAGCGTGGGCGCAGAGGACCGGAGAGAGGTAAACAGCTTTAGAACCTTTACAGGAGGAAAGTGCAACTGCACCTCAGGGCGTCTTCGGGCTGGTGCCAGAGGCCTTCTGCATCGGCTGCCAGGTCACTCGGAGAAGCTAGCAGGCGGAGCCTTCCCTTTCGGAAGAGCTGTCCTCTCCCTTACCCCCTCGCCCTGGCTTGGTGCCTCGGGGCAGCCTCGGAGGCGCGCCAGCAGCAGTCCTCCAATTCTACTCCACCCGAGCCTGACAGCTGGGCGGTCCCGCCTGACCCGTGGGCAGGTCGCTGCACCCTCCCGCCGACGCATGCCCTGGCGAGCCGGTCCGCTGCAAAAGGGCTGGCACCGCGGGTCCGAGAAGCCCCCGGGCCGGGGCCGGCCGAGCGACGGAGTTTCCATTGTGTGGCCGTGCGACTGGCCGGGGAACGCGCGCGCGCGCGCGCACAAACACACACACCCTCCCTCGCACACGCGGAACCGGCTGGGCCAAGGGAGGGAGGAGGAGGGTGACGTAGCGTCCCATGGCGTCACATTGACGTCTCGCATTCCAGGCACTCTATGCAGAGGCCGCTAGGGCTCCTGTGGCATAAATGACGTGCCGAGAGAGCGAGCGAACGCGCAGCCGGGAGAGCGGAGTCTCCTGCCTCCCGCCCCCCACTCTTACAGCTCCTGCTCCTCCTCCGCTCCCCATACACAGACGCGCTCACACCCGCTCCCTCACTCTCACACACAGACACAAGCGCGCACACACGCTCCGCACACACACTTCACTCTCCCGCGCGCTCACACCCCTCTTGCCCTGAGCCCTCGCGGGTGCAGCGCGGCGCCGCAGCCGGACGCCCCTCTCGGGCTCACTTTGGAACGCTGACGGTGCTGGCGGTGGCCGTGGAGGTGGGAACAGCAGCGGCATCCTCCCCCTTGGTAGCAGCCCGAGCCAGGACGCCCGCGGAACCTCTCGGCTGTGCTCTCCCATGAGTCGGGATCGCAGCATCCCACACCAGTCGCTCACCGCCTCCGGGAGCCGCTGGGATTGTACACCGCAGCCCTTCCGGGACAGCAGCTGTGACTCCCCCCCAGTGCAGATTTCGGGACAGCTCTCTAGAAACTCGCTCTAAAGACGGAACCGCCACAGCACTCAAGTACGTATGAAATTCGCCCAGTTAATAAGGGGGCTTGTTTAAAAAGTTGGCTAGCTGGGAAGCGTCGCTCCTGAAATTGACAACTTTTGAGTGTGGGGTTCCCTCCCCCACCTCACTGCCAGGCTTTGGCTTTGCTAGCCTAGCGGCCCGTAGGTTCTGGTCTGAAACTTTTCCCCAGTAGTGGGCCCGCGGGGATCTCTGGAGCTCGTGGGATTCCTCCCCCCACTCGAAGAGGCGAAAAGCCTCTAACAAAGAGGAGGACCGGGATTTGAGCTGTAGCGGCTCCAGCGATGTAATTCAGGGTATTTCGGCTGTAGTTGTCATGGTAATGATGCTCTCGGCGGCGGCGGCGGCGGCAGCGGCAGGGAGTTGCAGCTCCGGTGATGAACGGCAGTAATTTTCCTGCCTTTTAAGTAGGATTGAAAATAAGAGCTCTGGTGGTCCAAGTTAATGTACCTAATCGTGGCACGGAGCTGGTTCTCTGGAAGGAAGCTTGGGAGGGAAGGGCCTAGGCAGAGGCGGCCAGAGTTTGCAGAGGCACTCGGAGGACCTCAGGAAAGAGGGCGTAATTGTAGGAATGTGGCTTATTGTATTGAAATGAGCCTGGGGTTCCACTAGGCACGTCTGCCTGGCGTCGCTGACTTGCGGGTTTACACTTTTCCTTTAGGAGGTAAATCGGGTGTAATTGCCGACTCCAGCGGCCTGACACGTGTGGGGACGGTGTCCCTCTCCTCCGGACCTTGGCTCTGTGTGGGAAAGGCATGCTTTACTTTTCACTGACAGAACTAGTGCTTTTGGAGAAGTTGCTCCAAGTGTTTTACTCTTAGTATAAATGAAAGTTCTCGGTGGTGAGACGAGAGCGGTCATGCGAGCGCAGGCTGCGGAGACTGACTTCCAAAGGCACCTCTCCAACCTGTTGGAAGCCTCGGAGCAGTGGCGAGGAAGAGCGCATCTATCCCTTTATTTCCAAGACCGTTCTTGGAGATTGTCTTTTATTTATTTATGCATCCGGATTCTCCAGAGGGAAGAGCTGCGAGGAGTTAGTAATCAGAAATATCAGGCTGTGATCACAGGGCCTTGGGGTGTCGGGAGAGAAGTACAGGGAGCCGTCAGTCATTGTCATTCCATCGAGAGTCCAACGCCGGATCTCTTTTCCCACGATGGGGAAATATTTTACCGAGCCGAGTTGGGGCGTGAAAAAGCTGCCCAATGAGGCTAATGGGCACAATGAATGAAGTTACTTTATTCGAGTTATTTTATCTGAACAAGATGCTCGCAGTTAGTATCAAAGACTCCTTAAGCCATAGCAACCTCTACGCCCGCTCCCTCCCCCCGCACCCACCAACCGGTTCCCTGGGACCCTGCGCTCACAGAAATTCTTCCCTGCGGCTTGTCTCGTTTCTCTCGGTCTTTCTGAGAATCTCAGTCTTTCCCTTTCTGTCGGTCTCTTCTCTGCTGCTATTGCCCCCGCCCAACCTCCGCCCCCGCTCCCCAGGGTTGGAAACTCCGCAGAGGAGCTCCGGTCACAATGGTGCGTTTCACGGTTTCCTCCACACACTCCACCACGGGGAGGGGAACACGGGGGTGTTCCTTTCGTCTGCCCACGAGAGAGAAAGGGGCTTTGACGGAGGTAGTTATTTCCTTCTAATTTACAACCCCAAGGCTCTGTGCTCTCGGCCCCGGCTGCCGCGAGCCGGAGCGGCAGAACGTGTTTCCAGGCGCTGAGGCTTTGCCTAGGTAACCGGCCGTTTGCAGGGCGGAGAGAGCGGCAGGGCGCTGGGCTGGGCTGGAGAAAAGGCGGTGTGGGACCCTCCTGCGAACGCTGGGCACTCGAGGGGAACACCTTCATTGGGGAGACGCGGCCCCCGCCCATCCGAGTTCAGAGGCTGCCCCTCAGAGATAGACTCCGCTTGAAAGGCCCTCGGGGAATGCGGGGCAGGAATGCGGGGAGGGAATGCGGGCACCCACTGAAGAAGGGGCGGGTGGGGCATTGCTGGAGACCCCCATTGAAGATGCGGGAGACGGGAAGCACAGGCTGCTTCCGTGGGAAGATCCACTTCTACCGCACTACAGCGAGCGCAAGCTTTCCGAAGGAGCAGCTCCGGCTGGAGCTAGGGGTGGCAAGGGAATCCCCCATTTCCTGGCCGTCGAGGGTTTCCCGGACCTGGGGGCTCCGAGTCCCTTTCTCTCTTCCTGCAGGCAAGCCCCGGGCTCAGCGGCGCCAAGAGACGACCCTCGTGGCCCCGGGCACCTCAGAGGTTTTGGATTGGTTTGGTTTGGGGGTGTTTCGGTCCTTGTTCCCACCCTTCGAGCTGTGCCCACCAGGGACAAAGGGGGCGCTATAGGCCGGAGTTTGGGGCATCCAGATACTAACGTGAGGCCTTGCTGAGCTGCACTTTCAGCTACAAACTTTCGCAGCGGCTGTGCGTTGGTCCGGGAGCCGCGCTCGGCGCCCTCAGGAATGTGCCCCCTCTGGGCCGCTGGGTGGCCAGGAGCCTCCAAGCCGCCCACCCTCGGAGACACCGCCCTCTGGATGCAGGGTATCTGCCACCGCCCGCCCCATCAGCCGCGAACGCCGTCCGCTTCGTCCCCTAGATTCCAGCGCCAGCCTTGTCTTCGCTGCGTCCTTTTGTTTGCTTGACCCCTGGCCCTCGAAACTCGAGGCTAATAGAAGCGAAGCTCCATTAGCATTTAGAATGAAAAGCGCAGACTTTCTTAATTCCTCGGGGCATTCATGCATTCGTTCCGGACCTTGTGCATTTCCTATGCAACTTGTAAAATTTGTATTTGAGGGGTGGGGGCTGGCGGAGTTGGAAAATGTCTTTTTTCCGCTGGTGAACACTAACCGACCCCCGTATTCGGGAGGAGCTCCTTCCTCAAGTGTTCTGCTTTCTTCGGTTTTCCTGACTTGGCAAGCTCGGAATCAATTGTGGGAGCAGAGAGATCAATTTCTGGGCGATGACAGGCTGCGCGTTTTTTTAGCCTCGGTTCTGGTGCCACAAAACGGCGGTAGGCGCCGTGGGTTCGTACAACCTTTCCTCGGCTTCCCCAAGGCCGTGTGATAATACTTCTTGCTTAAGGGGACTTCTGTACCATTAATCACCCGTAATTTTATGATAATTCTTTGTAATTGATGTAGCATTTCTAGAGGTTCCCAACCAATTCCCCCAGTCCCCAATGCGCCCAGCCCGGGCCGTAGTGATCCATCCTGGTCTCACTGTGACTTATGTCCTCTCCAGAGCCCACTGCGGAAGAGCGCAGCCCGGCAAGCCCGGGCCCTGAGCCTGGACCCTCCGCAGTGCCGGGCAGCACTGCCTGCGCTTCGCCTCGCCGGACGTCCCCTCCTCCTACACTCTCAGCCTCTGCTGGAGAGACCCCCAGCCCCACCATTCAGCGCGCAAGATATCCTCCAGGTAGGTCCGAAGGCAGGACACCTTTCTCCTCCCTAGCTGAGGGAAGCCGGTGGGGGAACCACACACCCAGTGGGCAACGTGGTCGACCTGCCCAGTGCCAGGACAGTGACTGGTGGCCAAGAATTTCACAGCACAGGTGGCTTCCTCACGGGAAGCTCCTCTGTATACAACACCCTGTTGCTACTGAGTAGAGCAGCCAGATTAAATTAAGTGTTGCATTGCTCAAAATTAATTTTCCTAAGAGAAATACAAATATGCCAATAGATTGGGGTATTTTATAGATTTTAATTTCATTTTGCTCTTCTTTTAGTGTAAACATGTAGGAGTTATGGAATCACTTAGAGCAATACTGGGCATTTTCATTTATATAAAACCCAAATCATTTGGGTGAAGAAGTTTGGATGATTGAAGCTCAGAGGGAAGGAGAAAAGCATTTGAACTGAAAACCAAAGAGTAAATTTGAGTTTGACCAAAGAACAGATTCTAGATTTGATTTGTACCACCTCTTTACAAATTTGTTAAAGGAATAGTAAGTGCCAAGCCTGTGTAGGCACCACAGATAATGTAGATAAATAGAATACAATCCCAGCAAGGTCATCTTCTAGCTAGAAACCTCAGAAAGACACAAATAAGAGCAATAGGAAGGGATTGGCAGGGAAGAATGACAGAAAAGACTAAGGGAGAAATCCTAGAGGTGCTGAAGTGAGGAGAACAGATGAAAGATCAGGCAGTGTTCTTTCTTTTAAATGATTAGCCTTTCATTTCATCCCAACAATTGGACCGCAAGATAAGTAAACCTTTGACTTCAAACTAGTGAGTGTATTTCTAAAGCCCTGCTTGGAAAAGAAAGGCTTGAACTGGCCTCTCCTCATCACTGCTTCTTCCAACAGGCCCTCATCACCTTTTTTCAAGTCAAGATTTCATCCCATACACGCATGACTCAATCAGATTTGGAAATGTGGGTAAGAGAAAGATGTCAAAGGAAATGTGAAGTATTCACTTCTCTGTTAGTCACACCTTTTACACCATAGACTCCAAAGAGGCGTAAAGCACCTGGTTTTCCTTTGGCTCAGAAAAACCAACCACCAGAAACCGCCCCCCCACCCCCTGCATTTTTTTTTTTAACCATTTATATTTAGCCATAAAGGAAAATAATTAGATATATCATCCACTATGTCCAATAATTCTCAGAGCCTTGTCACTCAGTTCAGCCTCTCTGAACAATGGGAAGCACCCTGGATACCAGCCACTTTGAAGGCAACATAGTCAAACTGGCGGAGATATCAAGTCTATTCAGAAACTGCTTTTTTAAAAAAATCATGGGTACTAATTATAATGTCACAAGGAAATACCTATACTAACTTGTCTATTATGATAGTTATAAACTGTTATCACAAAACAGCCACTTATATGTTTTATTAGTTACAATTGGGATATATATGTGTGTGTGTTTATATATATATGGGTGGGTGTTTTGTTGCAGCTGCTGATCTTTTTCTTTGCAGATGGTACAAACTCCCCCGAGTCCATTTCCTGGGCCTATGTCCCCACCTAGCTGACTGAAGTTATCAACAGGGGTCCAGTTTGTGCGGGCTGCTAGCCCTATTGGAGGAGTGGGGAGGGGGTGGGAGAAAGCAACCACAACATGTGTGGGCAGGCTCAACTGGCACTTACAAATTATTAGAATGTCAACTCTCTCCCTTGGCCACTAAATCTCTCACAGGGTAGCTCTTTTTTGACTAACTCAGGTTTACAAATCAATGTGTATGCCTTATGGGGAACCAATGGCCTCTTTCCCCAAAAATAAACCGACTGGCTCTCTCTTTGTCCTCCTAGGTTATAGCTGAGGAAGCCACTCCAATTAGTTTATCGGACTCAAAGCCACTGTTTAAAACCATGTCTGAACTTATGAGGAAAGACTTCAAGTTTCCCAAATCTGATGGATAGGACAGGGCAAGGGAAGGAAGATAGGTACAGAGGTCCACAGGAGGCTAGGTTTTGGCACCCCCTTGTCAGGAATTCAGCTTCCTTACTAGGGATGAAGAAAATAAGTGTGGGACTTTTTGTCTAAGCTACGAGATGGAGAGGATGTCAGTTCCTTTCTATTTCCCAGATTAGAGAGCAGTGAACCCATTGCTGCCTGTTAGCTAGACAACCAGGGTTAACTTACTTCTGAGAGACCCTTTTCTCTGTCCCTGCAGATATGCCCTGCGTCCAAGCCCAATATAGCCCTTCACCTCCAGGTTCCAGTTATGCCGCGCAGACATACAGCTCGGAATACACCACAGAGATCATGAACCCCGACTACACCAAGCTGACCATGGACCTTGGCGGCACTGAGATCACAGCCACCGCCACCACGTCCCTGCCCAGCTTCAGTACCTTCATGGAGGGCTACTCGAGCAACTACGAACTCAAGCCCTCCTGCGTGTACCAAATGCAGCCACGGCCCTTGATCAAAGTGGAGGAGGGGCGGGCGCACGGCTACCACCACCATCACCACCACCACCACCACCACCATCACCATCACCAGCAGCAGCAGCAGCCATCCATCCCTTCCGCCTCCAGCCCAGAAGACGAGGTGCTGCCCAGCACCTCCATGTATTTCAAGCAGTCCCCACCGTCCACCCCCACCACGCCGGCCTTCCCCCCGCAGGCGGGGGCGCTGTGGGACGACGCGCTGCCCACAGCTCCCGGCTGCCTCGCTCCGGGCCCGCTGCTCGACCCGCGAATGAAGGCGGTGCCCCCGGTGGCCGGCGCGCGCTTCTCGCCCTTCCACTTCAAGCCCTCGCCGCCGCACCCTCCCGCGCCCAGCCCGGCCGGCGGCCACCACCTCAGCTACGACCCGACGGCCGCCGCCGCACTCAGCCTGCCACTGGGAGCCGCAGCCGCCGCGGGCAGCCAGGCCGCCGCGCTCGAGAGCCACCCGTACGGGCTGCCGCTGGCCAAGAGGGCGGCCGCTCTGGCCTTCCCGCCGCTCGGCCTAACGCCTTCTACCGCGTCCAGCTTGTTGGGGGAGAGTCCCAGCCTGCCGTCGCCGCCGAACAGGAGCTCGTCGTCGGGCGAGGGCACGTGTGCCGTGTGCGGGGACAACGCCGCCTGCCAGCACTATGGAGTGCGCACATGCGAGGGCTGTAAGGGCTTCTTCAAGGTGAGCGCACGTTGCCCCCTCCCCTCTGCACCCAGCCCCCTTGCTGAAGGGAGCTTCTAAGTGTGCGGAGGAGCGTCCTGGTCGTTCCGGGTTTGAGCGCTGTAATGCGCACGCTGCGTTCCTACAGTTCTTCCTACTACCTTCACGTCCATTTTCTCAGGGGCTTGCCACCGAGGTCCATGTACAGCCGGCCACCCCAGATGGACTCCGGGGGTCCGTGAACGTCCTGGTCTGACACTGCCCTATGAACATTTTTCCGGAGAGCTCTCACCAGTCTTAAAAGAACCTGTGACTTAGAAAATGCAAAAACCTCATTGCTTTCTTTGTCTATCCAAGGTGTCTGAGGGGATAGGGTGTGTGTACCAAGCCCTGGACATTTGTGTCTCATTTAATCCTTACACTAAGAGCTGGTGGTGCTCTAGAGTCAGACACACCTAAGATTGAATTCTGGACTCACTAGCTCTTTTTAGTAACAGTGTTTTAAAGGTAGATATTAATTATCCTTGTTTTGTAGATGACGATGTTGAGATTTGGAGAAGTTAATCAGCTGCCTCAGGACACACCTTCAGAGAGGGAGATGGAGGCAGGATGCCAGCCCACGTTTGTTTGACCCCAAAGTCCACTCCCTTTACATAGTTCTGCAGCACTGGGAGACAGGGGCAGCTGTCTAGATGCATGTGAGGCAGCTTTTTCCACAGAAGATAGAACTTGGGGTTTTCCTGTCTTCTAGGAACCTTTTACTTCTGTACCACATACAGTGCCAGGCATAAACACAGTTCATTCCATCATAGGCCTAACAGAAATTTTACAGTGGGAGGACCTTCAGCCTCCCCCATATTTTACCTACTAGGAAGCTGAGGCCTGGAGGAACAGTGAAGCCTTACGTAGGCTGTAAGCAGTAATTTAGCTGCCCATGAGATGTTTCCAGCTGATTTCTCCTGACTCCTGAATCTTTCAGTGTTATTTCTGCCACTTAGGGAAAAGACCTTGCTCTTTTGCTGTGCCACCTTTTGCTATTGACTCCCAGACTTTAGCAGACACTTACTTCTGTGTCATCCTTCTCACTCCCCACACTACTGGTCATTATTTCAGGCATTTACAAACCCACACAAATTATTACCTATCCTCCAGCGCTGGACAGGGTAGAGAGAAAGAGAAGGGGGATGCTGATTGGGTAACTGGGATTTGAGAGGCCAATAGAATATATCTGGGAGCATAATGGAATTGGAGAGAGAAGAATCAAATAGAAGACCTTTATCTTTCACCTTCCAATTGTATCATGTTGGGCATGATATTTCATTCTAGGCCTGTTTCCCGATCAATGAATAAAATTCAGAGAAGAGCTGTGTATTCAATGAGATAAAAATACATATGAAAGTACTTTATAATCTTTAAAGGGCCATAAACAATAGCTCATTATTAAACAAAAGCTATAAAGTATTTGTAAAAATGCACATTTGTGGAGGGATAGCAACAGTTATTTTTGATCTTCAGATAGTAATCATGTCACTACCTGAAAGCTGCAGATAAATGAGAAAATGTCTGGAAAGACTGCAGTATGTTAAGTGCCCTATAGATATTTGGGATTATGATGTTTTAAATGCAGAATCTTGGCCATTTTATTTTATTTTTTAGCCACTTAGTTTAGCCATTTTTTGTCTTACTTTCTCAAGCTTTAACAGAACTACTTTCAAGTAACTTCATTCCTTTAGCAGATTTTATTTTTACAGGATTTCAGTGGAAAGTGCTGAAGGACAATGAAACTGGCAGCAGAAAGGGGGAAAAGAAAAAAATAATAATTATGAATAATCTACAAACATAATTATCCCTAAATAATTGAGAATTGACCAAAATACCAGAGTGGTAATACATTCTGAGTCTAGAAATGTCAATTAAGTGTTCCCCAACAGCTTCCCTTTTTACAGCAATCCCTTGAAAACAAATCTATACTTGAAAGGGTCAGGGCAAGATGGGGGAGAACCACCCCACAGATCTGTTAATTAAGGGAACCGGAGCGGGTTTTACCCAGTGGCTTTCTACCATTAAATTGAATTATTTAAAAATGTGACAGGAAGTGCAGTTAATGATAGGAATTCGGTGATTGAACCATAACGATCTCTCCCTGTCCTTAAACTGTGCACACACGCAAATGTCCTTAAACTGTGCACACACACAAATGTAGGGAAGGCTTCAGGGTATTGGGAAAATGTATACCTGAAGCAAAATGCCACCAGCACTCAAACTGGCACATAGCCTTGAGGATGACGGCAAGAAGTAGAGTGTTAGAAATTACTGCATGTTCAATGAAAGCTTTATTCAGGAAACACACGTTTCCTACCCTTACAGACTGCTAAGAATTTAAATGCTGGAACCTCATTAGTGTGTCTGTGTTTCAGAATTTTGCATTTTAAACTAAAATCACCTACCAAGGCAGGGAAAACATGTCTTAGACTTGAGATAGGTTGACATTGTTATGTTAAGTTTTATATAAGCAATCTAGAAACTATCCCCTAAAATGAAATTAAAAGGTAATAGGGTAAAACTGAAACATGGGGGTTAAGGATGACTGAAAGTAAAGGTTGAAAGCAAATCTAGATGTCTGAACACAAAATAGATCATGAAGCCCAAGTTACCTGGATTTCTTTCTTTCTTTTTTTTTAATGCAGCCCAGGCTTCCCAAATAAATTCCAACTTTCTGCTCTATTAGGAGTTGTATAGATCCAGGTAATTTCTGAACATTTTCACCCTAAGTGGTAAAATACATTCATTTGCACAAATGTTTTCAATTTTAAAAGCAAGCACTTGTTTAAATTTGGAGGATGAAATATGTTTATATCTCCATGTATTATTTCCAAATTATATGGATTCTGAAAAACACAACATTATTTTTCTATCCAATCTCAAGTTTTATGATATTTTTTACAATATGGTTATTTTGGTGTCTATGTCAAAAGTCATTTATTAAATGACCTATTAATAGGAATTTTCACTGAAAATATATGGCTCTCATATTTCTTCCTTTGTCTTTTTTTTTAATTCCTTGGGGTTGTTTTCTTCCTTGGATATGATAATGATTTCTAATAACTACTTTTAAGATTTTGCTTTGAAAAATCAGAAATGGCCTGTTTATCATATATGGTCTTTAAAGATAAAATAAGCTATACAGGCTGATTATGTGAATTTTTTTTGCATTAAAATATTATTTCCTATATGTTTTAATCAGAAAAATCCTGATTTTGCTTTTTATGATTTCATCTCTGTTGGGTAACAAAGCCAGTTACTGTGATATTTGACTTATAATAGTGATAGCAAACAAAGTACATCCCAGATAATTTTGATTTTATTTTAATAAGGTCAGCAATAATCAGGGGAGTAGAACAAGTAGAAAATTGTTCCCAAAGGGATATTAAAAGTGGAGATAATCTAATTCTCCAAGGTATGATATGTTGACCTGGTAATTTCAGATATGATTTTATCATTCAGAGTTGGGTGTCTCCTGAGACTTGCTTTAGAACAATCCGAGATGATTTTCATTGTCAGCAGCTAACACTAATAAAATTGTTTTTCCTGCAGGCTAGCGTGTTAGGAAATTAAATTTATCGAATTATATGAATTGCACTGTCGCTTTTCACATTGTAATTAAAATACCTCTTGTCAGGTCCTACCTCTTTCCAGAAACTATCAGTTGACTATCTTGTATTATATTTTCTCAGAGAACAGTGCAGAAAAATGCAAAATATGTTTGCCTGGCAAATAAAAACTGCCCAGTAGACAAGAGACGTCGAAACCGATGTCAGTACTGTCGATTTCAGAAGTGTCTCAGTGTTGGAATGGTAAAAGAAGGTATGGTATAATGCTTTTTACCCAGTTTGCTAATTACATATTCTCAGAAATCACTGAAAAAAAAGTTAATATTTACACTGGGATGGTGAATTTTTCTTGTTCCTTTTTCCTTTCAACATTTTATCATATATATCTACATTTTTAAATAATTGAGGACTATTTTAATTTCTCAAAATTAATAGAGAACTTGTATACTTACATCTTTGCTCTATTTTAGAAGGAGACTTTTAGTGCTAATTCATTACCAAATGTAAATATGGGTGGCTTTTATGCTGCTTGCTTCAACTCTCATGAAATCATTGTGTGACTATTATTCCAAACTTATTCCACTTTTAAATAGTTGCTCTCATTAACAATTGCTCAGCTATAATGTGTTTTTATTCCCTTTTGCGATTTATGCTCATTTATAACATAATCTTCGAAAAATTTTTTTTCTCTCTTTTGGCATCAGTTGTCCGTACAGATAGTCTGAAAGGGAGGAGAGGTCGACTGCCTTCCAAACCAAAGAGCCCATTACAACAGGAACCTTCTCAGCCCTCTCCACCTTCTCCTCCAATCTGCATGATGAATGCCCTTGTCCGAGCTTTAACAGACTCAACAGCCAGAGATCTTGATTATTCCAGAGTAAGTTGTATGATTTCCTGCTTTCAAATGAATGATCAGGGTCTCTCTTTATGGCACTTGCAATAAGAGTTGATTGAATGATTTTGTGTCTGGCACCATGATAGGCAGTTTTCAAACCTTTTCTATATTTCTCACTTCATTTAGCAATTCAATGCATCCATTACGCCAAATAATTTTTGCCTTATTGAATCTCTAAATGCCTTAACAAATGACCCTGACAGTGCTGCACCTGTCATACACATTGTTGCAGGATGCCTGGTGTTTGTGCCAATGAAAATGTGCACAGGCGAACTACAATTTGTAGATTTCTCTCATGATCTAGACAAAGTGACTACTGTTTTTTTTTTTCATATTGTGTTCAAACCATCTGGGTGAGCCTCAAGTTATTCTTAAGTAGTGTATGCAATTGCATCAACATTGATTGACCTGCTGCTTATTCCGAGAGATTAGACCATTGATGGTGAGGAGCGAGCTCTGGCTGTGACATCAGATGTCAGGACGACTGGGATGGAACGCCACCTATGCTGCTTCCTGCCTGTGTCACCTGGTTCCTGCTTTGGGCTCTCTCCTTCCTACAATGGTGATGATTACAATATTTAACCCCAGAGGGGTATTGTGAACACCAGCCACACAAGAATGATGGTTGTAAAAACATTTTGAAGATTATAAATGACGATTGGTGTTGTTATAGTTAAGTCAACCAAAACATATCAACATTTTTATTTCCTATGAAATAAAATTTTTATTTTACTCACTAATAGAGTGAAATCCCATCAGTCTGAACTCTGCAAATCCCTCAGAATTTGGGTAACACAGAGAAAAGCCACAAGAAAGGATTTTCTGAGCAAATGAATAAATAGTTCTGTAAGGCAATTTATTTAAAGGACTTAGAAAAGCAAACTTCTAGTAAAACAGGGTCTCAATGAAGAGGGAAGGGAAGGAAAAAAAGTCTACAATTATTGAGCAGTTTCTATATGCTACACATTGTGGTGCATTGTCTCATTTTATCCTTTAAACCACCATGAACTGTAGGCATCATTATCCCTCCTACTTGAAGACAAAAAAATACTCAGAATCACAGCTTGTGCTCAGATAAAGAAATACCAGTCTAGAGGCCCCCAGTCAGTTGATCTGTCTTGGTGGCTACTACCAAACTGCTCTCCCCAGGTCTAATCAGTGTCTCAAGCTTCTGGTCTAATGGCTGGTAAAGAGTGAGTGTGTCCCTGCTATGTACCCTTCTCTTAGGTTGCAGTGTTGATAGAAATGATTAGTGTGCCTGCTGTGATCCTCTTTCCCTCTTCCCTACCCTCATTATAGGCTTCGAAGCCTCCTCTCTGCACCTGATCACAAAACATCATATGAGAAGCATGGTAGATCCTTAGCATCAAAGGTTGAGGACTCTTATTCTGATTATAAGTAGTGGCTCTTGACTAAAATCAAGTTTCAAATAATAGTGTAAGAGAATAAAGCAGAATAATAAGACTAAGTTAACAGTTTAGGCTTCTTTGGAATTATGTGGGCCTAGATGAAAATCCCAACACTGTCATTACTAGCCAAGTGACCTTGAGCAACTGATTATACCTTTTGATGCATGAGGGTAACAATAGTATCTACTTCCTGCGGTTGTTAGTGAAGATTAAATACAATTACACTTGTCAAAGCTTTAGCACAGTGCCCTGAATGTTATTTCCTTGGCCAAACTTTCTTACTCTGCCATTTGTTGAATGTCTTAATGAGCATGAACACTACACATCAGATATGCAGAACACTCTTAAGGTAAGTAGTATGATCTCTGTTTCACAGATAAGGAAATTTAAACTGGGAGAGGCTAAAGGGCTGAATTGCCAAAGGTCATGTAGCAAATATGCAGCAGAGATAGAATTAGGAGCCAAGTATATTGAACCCAAAATCTGTGCTCCTAAATACCAAGCTTCACTGTCTCTCTGGTTCCAGTCAGAGTGGGTGCTAGAAAAGTATTCAGGAATGAAGAGTTATCCTCCCAGAAGCACCCTGGCCTCTCCATATGCAGTTCATCTCAATTAGTGAAGCTTCTTAGCACTGCCTAGGCTAAGGCTAGAGCACACAATTTGACATTGTTCCAGGGCATTTGAAAGCATGATAGATGGCCAGTTCAGATAATTTAGGCCTCAAAAGTGATTTTTTGGCCTCAAATTATCCAATTATCAGTCTACATGGCCTAATTAGTCATTCAATGGCAAACCCTTCCCAGCACTTTGAGTTGTCCCAGCTGGGAACTGTCTCCACACTGAAAAATCAATCTAGTGTGTTTGCTTGCCTTTGCACCATTCAGTCTGTTAGTCTAGAGTCATCATCTTCATCAACAAACATTTATCCAATTTAATTGTTAGCTTTGTCCAAAATAGCAGATTGACCATGCCAGAGTCTGGGTCACGTTGGTACTACCTTTGGGGCCTGGCTCAATTTTGCAAAGCATATTTATTTTAATTGCATTATTTTGGAATCAGGTTGAACCTCATAACTTGGATTCCCCTGCTTTTAGATAGCATTACACAATTATCAAAAATTGGACCCAAATCAACTAAATTAAAAGACTTTTAAAAAATACAGTGAGTTTTCATCAGAAACTTGGATGAAAGCATAGGAGCATGCTGATCACATTTGCAGATGACAGAAAGCTGGGAGGGATCGCTAATATGATGGATGTCAGTATCAACATTCAGAGTGATCTCGACAGGTTGGAACAGGAAGGGCTGAAGCCATCACAAAGAAAGTTAACAAAAATAAATGTGAAGCTCGGCATTTAGAATTTAAACAAATGGGAGAGCCTTGGCTCCTCAGTGGTTCGTGTTAAGAAGATCTGGGGAGATTATTCCGTGTACACTCAATATGAACCAACAACATGTGTGGTAGAAGGGAGGGATGCTACATTACCTTCAGCTGCATTAGTAGAAGTATGGGACCAGACCCAAGTTGATGATGGTTGCATGGACTCTGTCCTGTCAGACTGTACTTCACAGATTGAGTCCGGTTCTAAGCTGGGATTCACTGTTTCTGGGAACTTGTAATAGATGATTGGGGGAAATGGAAATAAGTAGGCAGGAAGGGAAAAGATTTGGTGAAATTGGGCCACTCTTTTGCCCTATGGCAAAAAGAACTATTCTCCCAAAGACAGATCTAGAGAGAGAAAGAGTGGGGGGGCCTCTTCCTGCTCACTTGTCTAATGACAACTGTTTGCCATACTGGCTGCTGTGGAAGTGTGAGTTCATCAACACAAGGACGAATTAAGGTCATTTTAGTTTTAGCTTTTTGGGGAACTCCATACTGTTTCCCATAATGGCTATACTAATTTACATTCCCATCAGCAGTTTGAGAATTCCCCTTTCTCTACATCCTCAACAGCATTTTAGTCTTTTTATAATAATCATTCAAATTGGGGATACCTCCTTGTGGTTTGGATTTTCATTTTCCTGTTGGTTTGCGATTTTGAGAATTTTTAAACAAAAATTGGCTGTTGGCTATTTCTGTGTCTTCTTTTAAGAAATGTCTATTTAGGTTTTTTACCTATTTTTTAAACAATTCTTTTCTGCTATTGTGTTGAATTCCTCATATATTCTGGTTATTAATCCCTGTCAGATGGATAGTTTGTAAATTTTCTTCCATTCTGTAGGCTTTCACTTTTTAAATTATTTCCTTTGCTGACCATCACATATATTCTTAAATAATTTCACTTAAGGCATCAGCTCTGTGTGGTATAATTTATGGTTTAATTTTCTTAATACTGTCATTCACCAAAATTCAATTTCCATAATACCTTTTTTCTTAAAATTTTACATTTACAAATTCATAGAACTGGAGGTGATCTTTGGATTGTCTAATCCACCTCCCATATTTTAAGAAGAGTAAATTAAGGATTAAAGGGGTTAACTGGCTTGCCTAATGTCGGTGACAGAGTAGAGGACAAGATCCAGATCTCATCACTCAAAGTAATATGTTTCTATTTCATCATACTGCCACTTTTATTTAATGATGATGTACTATATTTTGAACATAGAAACTTTAAATTATGATAATATATATCCATTGGTTTTTTTTTTTTAAGGCATACCGTTCTGAGGTGGATAAAATGAAAAACGAAACTCTCTGCTTCATTTATAGCTCCTTAGCAGTGTTTTAGTGTGTATCCATAATTTATTACATGCTAAATAAGAATTTGCCCTGTCAAGTTTGAGAGTTGATTTGAGCCCTACAATTTATTAAAGATGCTAGCTTCCCCCAATGAGTCAGGTCAATAGAAAAAGGAAGAAATGTGTTGCCGGCCCAGTATGTTTTAATCTTCATGTACCAGCATGTGTTCCTTTAAGGTAGTAAGTGAGCAGTTTTCTCTGTTTGTGGGAATGGGAGGTGGAGGGGTTTTCTTCCAAGTCACAGAGGGAATGAATGTTTTAGAGGCCAGAAAGAGCTCCTGAGTTCTGTGAAGCATTCCTGGCTCTGGGACCTTCACTTCTCCTTTGGGCCAAACTTCTCTCCCTTAAAAGTGAGCTCAGATGATTGTACATCAGTGCAGTCAAAATATGTCATGTTTGATTTGTCTCTCCTCAAAATGTTGCTATTCTCTGCCCCACAGTTGCTTTTAATTTAGCAATACAAGTCCGTATAGATACTGGGCTTGGCATCAGAGCCTGCATAATTACTAATGAGAAAACATACTTAGTGTCTTCATTAGTTGATCATTTCAAGTATTTTTCAGCATACCAGGATATTTTCTGGTAATCAGTGCCACTTAATGTAGTAACAGACTTGCAAATACGAGAGATACTGCCCAGGTAAAACCAGGCATCAGCAATGGCATTTAAATGTGTTAACAAGATAGCCTATGATACAATGTGACTTAAGAGAAGTTAGATCTAAAAGGTAAGCAGAATGAAACTGCAAAAGGAGTGGTTTCATAAAGCATCTCAGAAGACCCTCTCAAACTGTTAGCAATTTACTAGATGATTTCAGGCCAGTTCCTGTCCCTG